TCCAATTACACCTGTTTGGATTTCGAGAAAACATGCCTATTTTACGGGTATTTACAACCTAACACCTCGAGGAATCGTGTAACATCCATGGAAGATGCAGATGAAAACGTCGATAGAGAGAGATTTTAGAAGCTGAAAACAGGTTTAAAGGCATTGAAAGCGAAGGATTCTACAAGATAAAGGGGTGTGAACGAAAAAACTACATTGTCTTAAGAATTAATAGGAGTTTGTTGTTCATTCCGGGATCGAATTGCATACGTCCATAATGAGATTGTGATAAATATCAAGAGTCAAGCTAATTAATCGTCAATTAAAGCGAAGAATCGTTATTAATTGATACAAATCTACATTTTTTAACACGGCAGCAACCAGTTTGCAACGATGGGTTGCCATTCCTACCCCCCCTTTTCTGCATTAGAATGCTAATTTAATCTCATTAAAAAAAAATGAATCTCTTTTAAAATTCCCCGACGGTGGGTAGTACCTCGAATTTTTTACTCCATTAACCGTGGATAATTAATTGAAGCCCTCCCAAGGATCTTCGGTTCCTGCCTCTTTCTTAACTGTTTACATATATTTTTTAAAAGACATTTTAATCCCCTCCTTCGTCCTCATTAACATAATTCTTTCGATCTTTAGAAGATGCAGCCGGGTGATGCGGAGGATGACGTTTCATCCGCATGGTCATCATCGGTACAGAATCTACACCGAGTCTATTGTTTAGATAGAAAGAAGCCGAGAGGCCTCTCACAATGGCGAAAATTTGTTAAGTGCCACTAACGTCCATCACCTTACTGTATTTTTTTTTTTTTTTTTCCTCTTCTTTCCCCCTCCATCCTTCGACGGAGAAATCGGATAATTGCCGTGTTTGTTTCTTTTGCTGAAGGCTTCTGTCTGCGATCACTCTTTGTCTACGGAGACAGAAAGGGCCACGTGACAGAAAATAGCTCGAGGGGATCGTCACGTGACGGGGGTAATTGCTTGTTCTGCGTCACGTGATGGCGTGATTAGAAAGGGGGGAAGTGGGAGAGGGACGAAAGAAGAGGCATTCTTTTCTAATCTTATCGTGCATTACGCAACAATAATGAATCACAAATCGAGTTTTGTTTAACAAGAGAATTCGCACCGATTTTAATTTATCTCGACGATAATTTTCTCCTTAATTAAAGGAGATCATCGTAAATCAAAATGACTTAATTCATTAAGAAGTCTCTCCGTCCATTTAAAATAACTTCCTTTTTCTTGCACTTCGTTAAAATTCACTGCCTATTTTTTTTTAATGGTGTTTTCTTTTTTATAATACACTTGTTCGTCACTATTTTTTCTTTGTTACACTTGTTACTGTCGATTGTTATTGTTCTCCAGTCCGTTACTGTTGTTACTCTTAAATAAGTTTTTTCTCGATGATGTTTTTTCTACTTTTTTAAGTGTTTTCCACATTTTAAAATTATCTTTTTCTGTTCCTGATTACTCATTGTTTTCGATACGCATTGTCTTTATTGTTACGTGACGAGTTTTCGTCGCTGTGACCTTTGACACTTATGTGTGTGTCAAATAAGGTTCAGAAGAGCGATGTTACTTTATATATAATAACACAGAATTTATCAATATTTGAGAAACAAAATTAAAAAAAATAATACAGTAATAATATAAAGAAAGAAACAGGAAACAAAGCAGAAGCAAAGGCGCCAGAAAACCTGACTAGAAAAGACGTAAGTTGAATATAGAATTACACTAACCATTCTCTATTCTCTACCCGATTCTTCGCATTTTATGTCACTATCACGCGAACTACTAGCATATTTACCGAATTTTAAAATAGATAAAAGATTTATTTTCGATAGGGAACCTCCAAGAAATTTCCCTAATCGTCCCTACACCATTCTAAACGACGTAGAAACAAACGTATAGTTTCCTCCCTTAAAAATTAAACCCAACCCCCCCAGTTACAAAAAAACAACACAGAATAAAGCGTGAGAATCTTCAAAGAAAAATATTTCGAATGCCAAAAGGAATTCCAAAAACTCACTTTATACGGCTTACAGGTGTGAAGTTGTCACGTGTAAAAAATCGTTCCATTCCTTTTGTCAACTTTAAAAACACAAAAAAAAAAGAAAATTCGAATCGATTCGTATCATTAGTCAGTCTCAGACGGACATGCAAAGTCAAATCCTAACAACGTCGTCACGAACTCCCATAGAACCCAGTATTTATCACACCGCTCCCATAACAATACAGACATGCGTGACCGTATGTTTTTTATCTGTTGTAATATTTCTGACACGTGATTTATGCCGTTAGAAATATCCCTAAAATGTCCGATCATCTTCTTACTTAAATAGCGACCCCCCTATAACACTGTTGATTATTCTGTTTTATATGAATTCCATGTTGTACGAGTCACTTAGATTTTACAAATACATGAGCCATTCACAGCCCGGCACACGTATTTATAAAATGTAAGTGACTCATACAACATGGAATTCATATAAAACGGAATAATCAACAGTGTTATAGGGGGGGTCGACTTGTACTGTATTCAAAGGTACCAGAACGGTGATAGAAAGGAAGGGGGGAATTACAGAAGGGAGGACACGAGGGCGTTCGTATCTTCAAACAAGAAACTTAATTAATGGTAAAAACCGTATTAAAATTCGTCACGTGTCACTTTTTTGGTGGGTAAACACCCACCCCCGAGAGGGTGATTAAATTTTAATTAAAGGATAGAGAGCGTGAGGAAAGTAGTAGAAAGGTTATAGAGTATTTATACGAACACTCGACAAAACCCCCCCCCTCAAAATTAAGTTTTCTCTCCATCCCCCGACGAAGATAATTTATTATTTTTGTAAACTATTAGTCTGTAGGGGAGGAGATTTTCGAGAGATGGAAGAGGAAACCGAATTGTCTCGCTCTGTGACATTGTAAATAAAAGATTAGTGCTGTTTACTTTGGTACACCTCGACGTAAAGGGGGTCTTTTTTTTTATTATTTTAACGACGTCTGCCGCCAACCGAAGGTCGTTTCTAAGCAATCTGGTAATTAAACTAGTCTCTGCATTGTTATACCGTGAATGGGAATGAGTTGGATGAGATCCAAGCAGGTTGGGGTCGAGATGTCGGTAAACCCCTCAGCTACAGGTGAGAGCGTGTCTTCCTTTAAAAAATTTCTAGGGAATTTAATAAAAATAATGGCTACTTTCTTAGTGTTTTTTTAATGTATAAAAATAGGAAAGGTGTACGAGTACCCACTCGGGTTCCTCCACACCTTTTTTGATCTCCCCGTTAATGGATGATAAAAAGGATTCTGTGATGGAGTCGATAAAAATTATCCAGTTAACTCGAAACGACGCATAGCCGATTTATAAACCATTTAGCTAAGCTCCCTTCAAGGATAACGCCTGAATGAACACTTGGGAGTGTCAAATTTATGGAGGATTAAGTAGAGAAAGTGTCTGACGGCCGTAAACCCAATCTTCCGCGAAACAAGGTAACGTCTGTCTGTCTGACGTTCAGAGTGCCATAAACGTTTTTCTTTATCGATATCCTCTATGACGTCTCCATTTTAAACAATATACTAGAGGCTTTTTAAGTGTTTTAATGGTTACGATTAAGAGAAAACCGAATGGAATTTCTCAAACTATATTCGAATTGATTATTCATGAAGATTCTCGACCCTCTAAACGTCACCACAAAAAATCCGATAGAGCATATCACAGAGAGGTGTTTACAGGTGTAACTGAAACTTCTATACCTTTTATTTCTTGGTTTCGCCTCGTGTGGGTGTTGATATTTTGTTTTATTTACGATTCTAGGAGCATCTTTCGTAGATAACGGTAGAAATTGTAAGTAAAATAAATAAAGGGAGCGAAAACGTCGTGGGAAACACACACAAGAAGAAGAATGAAGTAGTAGCGTATCGTCTACGTTACATTAATAATGTCGAGATAGCATCTTAAAGGTTGGGAATGGCCGAAGATGGGCACGACGATACGTCGTTTGGTAACTACACACTTGTATTTTATCATACACAGTCAATGAAATGCTAAATTATAAGTGTGTATCTACGCCACCATCTTTAAGTATCTCACGTGTTATCACGCCAGACAAAGAAATTATGATTTATCAACACACCAATTGGCTCGATAGCAGAGATTTTTAAGCCCTCGAAGTGTACCCCTGGCTATTTTTTATATAGTAAAAGGCTCATTGCTAAAAAAACGAATTACACAAGGTTATTTTTGAAGGAGGAATCGCGTGTTTTAAAAATAATACACAAACTCGAGCATTAATATTAACGTGAAGTAACATATGCGAAAGGAATATCAATCAATATAAAGTTTCATACCAATGTCATTGGGACTTGGTACACTTTGCCTCTACTCTGAAAGGGTCTAACATAATGTTAAACGAATTTTAACACGGTATATATAAAGGAAAAGAGGGAGAACATCACACTTTAACTTTATTTTAGTGTCAGAGGAAGGTTTTAAGTGTTTTAAAGACGATCAATCACTCAAACAATGCACAGAATAATAGAATAATACCGGTTATTCGAGTGAAGTAGTGAAGGTAAACCGGTCTTTTATCTGTTATGATTTTTATAAAATTGTTAGAGCAGCACCTTTTATTTTCTTCTACTGGATCGTTCCTCTGATAAATTTAAAAATATCGTGAAACAATTATTCGGTAGTGGCAAAGTGTTACGGGGTTAAACAAACATCGTTCTATCTTAACTAGTAGCTTACACCCCCTCGCATTACATTATTTAAAAGTAAATAAGGCGAATGTAGTGTAAAAAAATGGAGCATTCTCGTGTCGTTGTGTCAATCTAGGTTGGCATCAAGGACGAAGACATTAATCACCTACCATAAAATATGTCTATTATGATGGCGGTGGCTTTTTTATCAAGGACGATGCTATGGATCCTTAGGCGGGAGGAGCGAAGTTTTGTCCCCCAATTTTTATACCAAAAAATTATTATACTGATCCAAAAACACTTACCTTGAGTGAACATGGATACGCTATCATTACCCAGAGCCTCGTTGATAATGACTCCATGCTCCGGAGGTGTGGTAATGATGTACAGAAGATTAATGTCTTGGCTGTCTCGGTCCTCTGCACGCAGCACTTTATTAGTAAACTGAAATCCCAACAGATCGTTGTCTAAAGGTCCTATCGACGTGGCACCTCGATTAATGGACAGTTTTGGAACCACGTTGTCCACGGGGATGATCTCAATTTCCATTGTTACTGGTTTCTTGGTTTCTTTATCCAAATAGGGGTGCAAGAAGAAGTCCGTGTGAGTGCCATCCGTCACGATGAAAGTGAAGCTATCTTCTACGGTTTCGGAACCGTCGTGATGATACGTGACGAGGTTTTCGTTCAGATCCGACATGGTGAAAGTGTTGGTGGGGTTCTGATGATCGTACAGGATTTTGCCGTGGGCGGGGGGTCGAATCACCAACACTCGAAGGAGATTATCGTCGGAATCTCGATCCTCCACTTTAAGTTCGAAGGGGGATATCAAACGATCTCCTCCTTCCTTCACTCTAAGTTTATTAGCGTAGACAATGGGTTTCTTGTTATCCAAGTCGCTTATGGAAATTCTGAAAGTCCTATAGACGGAGTTAAAGCCATCAGACACTTCGAATTCGAAGCTGTCCATTTTTATCTCGTCTTCGCTGGTGTGAACGTAAGAAATCTTGTTTCCAGCCAAATCTAATTGAGTGAAGGACGTGATGGGCAAACCGGGATGATCCGAATTTTCCAAGTGACCTCTGGAAGGTGCTCTTGTGATAGAAAACTCCAAAAATTCGTCGTCGCTGTTAAGATCGCTGGTGCTCAATAAGTTGGTGTTCAGAGTGATTTTACCACCTTCGGGAAGTTCCACTCCCCTGTTAATGACGTCGGGGTATAAGACGTCGATCCCTTCGATCGTCACCCAAAAATAGCGATCAATAAACGAATTGGTTCCATCGGTGATGTCGAATTTTATCAGATCTCTAACCCCTTCTCTCCCTAACTGAATATACATGATGAGATTATCGTCGATGTCCGCTTGAGTGAAATTCATTCCATTGGTCAAATTAAACAGAGGAATGTCCGTTTCTGGATCTAGAAACACTAAATTCCCGTATCTCGGAGCTTGTCTCACGATATAAGTGATGTTTCCATCATCGGAATCCAGGTCTTCCGCTTTCAGCATCTGATTCGTTATCAGTTTGGATTCTCCTAGTCCTATCTCCAGACCATTGTTGATGGTGAGTCTTGGTGTTTCGTCGTCCACGGGGATGATCATGACCAGGAACTTTTTGCTGGTGTTGTGTAAACCATCCGTTAACTCGAGTTCGAATTCGTCTTCTATGCTTTCCGAGTTGTCGTGCTGATAGAGGATGGAAGAACTTTGTCGAATCTGATCTAAGGTGAAACTAGTGATTTCTTTCGTGTCTCTTGTAGTGTGAGAAACTATCCTCCCGTGTTTCGGCTTAGTTTTGATGGTAAAAACCAATTTATCTTTGGGAATATCGGCGTCTATGGCGTTTAGAATTGGTAAATCTATGACGAGATCCCTTCCCTCGTAAACAATGAATTCTCTCATGAACATCTCGGGCTCTTCATCGTTAGTGGGTTCTATGTGAATGAGGAAGAGTAGGGTGGGAGCGAAATTGACTCCATCGGAACAACTAAAAGTAAATTCGTCTTGTGTGGGTTCCGTCTTCTTGTGGATGCTCTGAACGTAGTTGATGCTGTTTCGTCTCAAATCTGCTATGGTGAATGCAGTTATAGGGATGCCATCTCTAGGTATTTCGGATCCCGGTCCAGGTGACGTATTTTCGACGTAACCTTTGCTGGGTTGGTCTATAATCGTACAGATGATGTCGTCGACTTCCGTGTCCACGTCCGTGGCATTCAAGTACAAGAGAGTGATGGTGCTCTTGTTACCTTCTAAAACCGTAAAGAGTGGTCCCACCACCACGTTAGGTGGCACGTTGTCCACCGGTTCCACGTCGACCACTACGTGAATGTGATCGATCCTGTTTCCACCCACGATCCAATCGTTAGACATATCGGAGATAGTCAAATTAAAACTGTCGATCACTGGCTCCAATCCAATTTCCTGCCTATTGTGTACGTAATACACCCTCTTATTCTGTATATCGTGTTGCTTGAACCTGTCCGAGATAATCCCATTTACTTCTATGTAACCGAATCTAGGTAATTCGTCTATCAAGAAAGTGATCATGGTATCGTCCGTGTCGGGATCGGAAGCTTTCAGAACGTCGTTGGTGATTGCTGTTCTTCCACTCTCCTTCACGCTCAATCTCACACCCAGAGTACCCGGAGCAATTTGTAATTGGGGTGCTTCGTCGTCGATGGGTCTGATGTGAATGTGGATGATGACTGGCACTTTATGGATTCCGTCCGTGGCTTCTATTGCAAATTTGTCATTATCCATTTCCGCTCCGCTATTGACGTAACTGACCAGACCGTTGGAGATGTCCCTCCTGGTGAAAAAGTCACCCACTCCGAGCTCAAAAGTTCCGAGTTGGATGCTCCCGTGACTTGGCACCTTCTTGACAGTGAACAGGATCGAATCGGAGTCGGTATCTTGATCCGTCGCATCGAGAATGTCGGGGGTGATGATGGCGAAACCGTTCTCGTAAACGTTCAGTCCGCTGTTAGTTATAACGGGTGGTTTATTATCCACGGGCACTAACCTTATAGTAAACTTTTGGGCGGGTAGAACGTTACCCGCGCTGTCTACAACCTCAAATTCGAACTGGATGTCTCGAGGAACGATTCCCAGTTCGATGGAGGGCGGTTTGTAAGCAATCTTGTGATGGTTGATTTGAGCTTGACTGAATTCGCCTACTTCGTGATCGGGATATTCCGAGAAAACAATCTTTCCAGGATCCAGGGGGTTAGCGGGATCCAAATCGAATGGTTTTCTAACGATTCTGATGACCAGATCTCGATCCCTGGTATCTAGATCGTGGTACCTCATCTGTTTTTTGGTAATATCCGTCAGTTCAAACTCGTGAACCACCAGATGCAGATCGGAATTGGGTTGCAACTCGGGTGGAATGTTATCCTTGGGAAAGATCTTAATAAGAAATTCCTGTTCGTCCGATCCGTTGGGGGGTATGTTATCGTCGTACACCTTAAATTTGAGCAGTTCGACGATCGGTTCCGAATAATGCTGACCCGTGTGCCGATAAAATATTCTACCTTCCAACAAGTCTTCCTGAGTCCAAGAAGTTACGGGTATCTCGTAGACCCCGTCGATGTAGGACCATAAATTAGGATCGTCGGGTACTTCGGTCTGTTTCTTCAGGACCACCCCCTCTTCGGGAGGCTCCTGTAGTTCGAACGTAATTCTATAATCGTCGCTGTCTATGTCGGTAGCGCTCAAGACGTAGTGATTAATTACCACCTCCTCGTCCTTCGTGATGGTAAGTCCTTTATTAATGTTTACAATGGGTGCTTCGTCATCCTCCGGATATATTGTGACCGGAAACAGGAATTCTACTTTGTGTTTACCGTCGTCTAATCGAAATATAATATTATCGCTTGATGTATCGCTTCCATCGTGTTGATAAACTACCAACCCGGCGTCTAGGTCAGCGGGTGAAAAGTGCTTGACTGGACTGCCCAACAGCAACAATTTACCGTGCCTCAGCCCATCGACAACCTCCAGAGTGACATCATCGATGTTATCTTCGTCCGCTATCTCCAGGTTTTTAGAACTCTGTAATTTTCTCGACTGACCTTCGAATAGCATCAGTCTGGTGTTTCTAGTTGCCAGAGGTGCCAAACTATTCATAGGTTTGACCACAAACATTAAAGCGAAAGCCTCCGAAGTCAAACCCTCGGAATCTACAACCTCCAAGTCGACCCTGAAGAGCCTCTTGACGTCGGAATCGGAAGCGGGAGGTTTGTAGGCAATTTTCAAGTCTTCCACGTCTTTTTGATAGAAGGAAGTGATGGGCAAATCTTGATCGTCCGTGCTGACGATGATACCTTCGCCGTATCCCAGAGGAGAAGTGATGTTGAAGATGAGTTTTTCTGGAGACGTCTCCGCATCTTCCGCCGATAAGATGCTGGGGGTGATTGCCGTCATGACGAATTGGTTAACGTCTAACAGTAGAAGAGAGGTGAATCTCAGTTGGGGCGGAGTGTTCTCGTTGCCCTCTTTAATACGCACCATGATCTGAAAATATTCCTGCTTTAAGACGTTACCGTGAGAATCTGTCAGTTCGGCTACCAGAGGTAAAAAATCCTTGTTCGGGGAGTCTGTTAGAAACGTATGTCTGTAACGTATATCGGAGTTTAAGAATACGTCGCAATCCTCCATCATCCCCGCGTTAGCATCGTTAATCACTTCACCATATCGAGGGAGACCGCTCGCGCTACTAAGTATGGTCACCTTACAATTTTGCCGATTCTTATCGTAGGTGAACTGCAACACTCGATTGTCTATGGGGGTGCTGACGTCTCCCAATCTCTCGACCACCAAAGGCATGTTTTTTGTAACAATTTCTAACTGTTCGAACAATACTTGCACGTGAACCGTGACGGGGATGATGTAAGTATCGTCTTCGGAATCGTATCTTATCAATAACTTTACCTTATCTTGGGGAGGACTTCGAGCTCCGAAATGGACGTATTGAACGTCGTGTGGGCCAAACTGACACGGAAAGTGGCCCGGTGTCAATCTACCCGATATCTGAGACAGAGGGTCGTTTTGGATGACTTTCACCGTGCATCTGTCGTCATTAGACACTCGTATCCTCAAATCTCGATCGGGATGGACGTAGACGGAACGTCCGAAAGGTACAGCGATTCCGTTATTGACACTCACCAAGTCCTGCTCGGTAACCCCCTGAGCCACCACCAGACAAGCGCCGACGAGTACCAAACACAACCTTGTTGCTTCCATAGCTGCTGCTAACGTACTGCCGACTGCAGCAGCTCCGTGTTACACCCAGTGCATCGACACCGACTGCTCCATTCAAGGAACTTACACACTGTCTAGCGCACTGATACGCTCTCGACTTTATCCCACTCCGTGTGACGTCAGTACAGTTTATTTTAATCGACCAGTCGAACAGACAAACGCGAGACCCACTCTCAACTCAACTCTTTATAGTCGCTCCCTTCTAACTATATTTACACTCCAACAAAACGGAGAGGGGCGAGCGACAAACAAGAACTACTTCGGCCAGCTGCCGGAGGTCAAAGTTCGACACATTTATCATAATGAGCTAAGAAGTTTATGTAAATAAATTTAAAGTGTTTATTGCGCGGCTCGACTTACTCGTGACCAGGAAAAGGGTCGAACGTAGACACTAGTCGATAACTATCGGTTAATTACCCGATTATACCGGGCTATTACTTTTCTCCCATACGTGTTTAACGATTCATTTTTCTAAAGACGGCGGGGTGCGCATTATACAACGTCTTAACGACTCGCGAACGGTAAAGTTTTTAACAAATGACAAATTGACTTTACCCTTCGGGGACCTCTAGGAAAGTCCACCATTTATTAACCGGAGTGTTTACATTAGCATCTCTCGAACACCGAAAAACACGAAGAGGGTTGTTAGCGACTTGCAAAAACTTGGTTAATTGATAACGATGCGAGAATGTCAATCATTCCACAGACAATATCAGATTCTTCACTCGTCAGCTTGCCAATAAATGGAATTTCGGGTGGGGTAGAAGATCCGGACACGTAACGTTAGCTAGCCAATAGAGGGGTGGATAATAAGTAAACGCGCGAGTGGAGAACCGACTCGACGGGAGGTAAGAAGATACCAGCCACTTTTTGCATGCAAAATCCGAGTGGTTAATGAATAAAGAGCTCATTCATCCAAATCTCGAGGAGAATTAGCTTTCTGGACGAGGTGGAAAAAAAATCTCCCTCCCTCAAACTCTCCTACCCCACTCGAGATCTGAATGGGATTATGATTCACCAGGCTCTAAAAAGCCGCAGATTAAACTAATTAACTACAAGTTTTCCCTATTTTTTCCCTCCCCTACACAAACACATATATGTACTGTACACATAACTCTATATAGAACACGGGACTGTAGCGAAGTGACTCGTCAAAAATGACCTTTTACAAGAGATCCTGTAATTGGCTAAGTACAGAAGAGATCCATCCATCTTACGCGAGAATGGGCGCAACCGAAATTTTCAGAATGACAAATTTAACTCGACCACCTCTCTGTAATTACTTGGTTTTATGCGAAATGTTTACCAAGTGAAGGTGCGCCTAATCTTGTAATTACAAAGAAAGATCTGGCACACACGAAAAATAGACGAAGTGGCGCAATATACTCTCTCCACCACTCGTTCCTACGTGATGAGATAATTATTATAATTCGACTGCACCCTAACTGAATATAAATAATGTTATTTAGATTGTAAACTAGTGTTGAAGAAATACGTGCAGTTCGATTGACGTACAGATTTTTTTTTATTGTTTACGGATTTCTTCATACATCCTCTACCTCCTCTCCGTGTAGGGAGCTAAGAATTGTTGGAATTTCTTTTGTATTTCTGTAGAATATGTATAGGTCCTTTCAACTACCGAGATTATATACTCCGTACAGTTAATCTTTTAAAGATATCCACCAATTATTCCATTTTTGTGGAAGGTTACAGGTCTCAATTTATGTATTTTTCGGGTGCGAGAAGGTAAGATAATCGCTTCGAACACCCCTAAACTATGAAAATAGCGTGTAAAGTGTGGTGTTTTATTGTAAATTTAATTAATTATAACGTAAAGATGGTAGTAGACGTGGGGGTGCTCGACTGCTATTGTTTCTGGTAGCGTTATCTTTCATCTGAATCGTGTGACGTGTGTGTCATCCCGAACATGATTTATGACGATCCATAAATCCTCAGAATTGGAATCTGTCAGCAGAAGCTACAGATTTCTATTTGAGGATTATGGAAGTTAAAAAAATGAAGAATTTATATTCTTAACCAGTCTTCTTCTATTTTTCTTTAACCTTCGATAACTCCAGTCGAAATGAAGGAACTTGTATTCCTATCAAAACCGTTTTTTAAATCTATATTATAGATATTATAGCGGACGATTCGTGACTCGAATTTCATGTTACACCTTCTTTTTTTTATTATTTACTTATCCTATAATTTAAATTAGTATGGAGTTTGTAACTTATCATTTTGGTTTAGTTACAACGTTATTCCCTTCCCCCCTCTTACTATCGTTTCTCTGTAATTGGATGGAAGTAGATAGTCTATCGACAAATCGAATGAACAAAAAACTACCCTTATCGATACAAACTGGACTTCAAGGGCACACATCTTTAGCCCATAACTCAGATTTAGGCCATTGATTACTTTTAAATTGAAGTAATTCGATTTTTTTTTTAAAAAAAGAGAATTGGGGCTCACTAACCTTTACTTTCCATTATCTAACGTTCCGTTTTCTCTACTGTAAACGTGTTTTTTGAGTAAATTCCATTTGAATTTGTATAGAAAAACGCTTGTTAAAGTGTAAGAATGGAAGGTTTTGTTATATATTTAACGTATTTTCTAGCTTTCTCCCACGATCTGAGTCGCAATCCCTCATATAACAGATCTGATAGATAAAGAGAAGAGACAGTTTCAAAGTTCCCGGAGGCACTTACAAAATTCTTTTCAAAATACCCCCCCCCCGAAATATCGAGTGTCCGCAAGAATCCTTCCCCGAATTATCCAGGTTTTTTTAAGGGTGTGCACTCTTGTATAATCCTACTTCTGTAACAATCTTTAATCTTCTCTTCAGGATGATGCGGAAAAAATCTTTTTATGGAAAATCCGTATGTAAGACTATTATTTATAAGAGTTTTCGATAAAAAGGGGGTCGAATAAACGTTAAGTATTATATTTATGAAGTTCACGTTTCATCGTAAAGTTTTGGTTGAAAGGAACCGAAGAATGTAGCAAACAACTCTGACAGTGAAATTCGTCACGGGACGGAAAGACACGCGAAGACAAGATACCCGGGGACTATATTCGTCACCTTTGACCTCTTAAACTCGAGGGTCTTTCTCGAATCTACGTCACGATACTAGTAAAGGTGGTCGTTCGTCACACCGACTTCGATTCAAGTCGAGTGAGTTACGATCGGACGAAACCCCAAGTGTCTAACCCCGCGCGCGAGTCTCTCTCCCCCTTCTCGTCAACACTCGTGTGTTATGGGAAGTAAAAGTAATCTGTGCCCATTTTGTCAACGAATATGCTCCGATCTACGATGGTTTATGAAGAGACAGGTCGGCGCCTCCATTTTCAAGATCCGGCTCTCTACCCCACACTCACCCCTCGACCTAATCGTCACTATCTAGTGGTAACATCTCGTCTATCTGAGATCTGCGCTACCATAAGGTCTCGGTGGAGGCGTCTACTTCGTAACACTTCTAGTAATTGCCACATTCTTCTATAGAAAGAACACTTCTCCCACAGTCGTTCTCAATGACTTATCTATCGAAATTACTCAACACAACCCTCTCCTATCTCCTATATATATATAAATGGTAAAAAGATACTTTAGTAATTTTGATTTAATATTTGGAAATTAACAAGTGGGTGAGGTAGGGAGCAATGCCTGCTTCGTACAATTACTTATTTCTCTCTAGAAGTAATGGTTTATCCACCGTCACGATGGTGGGATAAGATAATTTACTGCCGGGTAGATAAGTAGCGCAAGGTGTTAGTACCGAACTGTCTAATCCATCTTCTTTGCCATTTCTCACTTTAGTACTGACAACCTGTTGACTGCTGGTATTCAACTTGCGGCACATTGCAAAATTCGAATTTCTCGTTGCTCTCTTCTTCAACTTCTCCAACATTAAAAAAACTCACTAATATAGACTCTTAACCTTCTCTAAATTAAGATTATTCAGCAAAATTTCCAATTAATCCAGCAAAAAATGGAGAAATTCGAGATTTTTACGTAACGTTACTTGTAGCTTGGATACGTTGGGATGCAATTATTCATCCTGAAAGTTAAGATTCGAGTTTCTTCGTTATCTCATCTTTGAGGATTAATAAAAATAAATCAATGGCAACTCGTACGTTTCTGTACAAATTACTCATCTCGAAAGCGGATGATGGAGTGGGTCTTTCCTCCCGTTCTCTTTCCAATCAAGAAAAATGATGACTCTTCGGAAAAAAAACTGATCTTGTAATTGATATTTAATTGAAAAAAAATGCCTATAAAATCGATAAGAAGTATATAATAATGGTAATTACAGCATCATCCCATTTATCCTGACAAATCCAAGTGTGTGATGAAAAACAAACACAAAAGAAAACCAATCATTTAATTCATAATTAAATGAATTCAGCCGTAGAATTGATTTTGTTAAGAATATTTAAAAATGGCCGAAAATGTAAGAGGAAGAAGAAGAGTCACCGAGTGAGATGGCGCTGATTAATAATGGTTCCAGATGATAGCACCATCTAGCGACGACAAAGTTAATCACCGAGATTTGTTTATGTTTTTTTTTTAGGTCCAGACACACACGTGTTTTCCAACTGTACAGAAGAAAACCGGATAGAAATTTATTATTTCCAATCGGATATCAATTTACTAACACTATACAGATTTATAGTTTTGTTGTCGGAGGCGGAAAGTGATGAATGAAAATTGCTTTGGCACACACTGAAGAGTACCAATGAGAGACTACCGTTGTGTGTGTTTTTATGGAAAGTTTTTTCTTGTGTAAATAAATTAGAAGAAGAAAAAAAAGTAGATTTTTTGGGGGGGATATAGATTAGTAACGGGAGAGAGAGAGAGAGAGACGGAGGTAGTAAAAATTGGTAGAACCGGGGTGGATCAAACTAGTTCTGATGTTGTAAAATGGGCTCGTTATCGTCGGAGCATCGAAGATATCGATACGAAACCGTTGCCGATAGTCGAAACGATGGCATGACGTGGATCGTAATGAGAGAAGAGATTTACGACTGGACCGGTGCAAGAAGTACATGTCACATAACTGACTAATGGAACTCTAAAAGCGGCTTGATTGCCTGT